CCAGACATTGAAGGATGTCTTCAGAAGTAGTCTCACGTACGTCTCGTTTTACCTCGCACTCGATTTTCTAGGATCCTTGAAATTGTTTATTTCTGCATCTTTCTTTTGTCCTAGGGGAATTTAACAACAAATAAGTAGCTTGCACCCAGATCAGTTGCCTGCCTAAAGATGCTTTTTGGGTTTCTTACCCGAAGTCATATTCAAATAGATTTCCCTTAAGTGCTGACACCAGGGGCAGTCCCCCTGCACGCCGCTGCTTTCAGGGTGATTTACTATCTCAAGACAGTGACAGATTTACTTCTCTCCACAGGAAAAGGAAAAAACAAAGACACTGCTGAGCTGGAGGAAGGTCAAGAGCTCCAGCCGGTGCCACTGACAGTTCAATTCCAGATGCAGCTGCTTCGGTGGCCCTTGGCAGTCAGTGCCCAGAGCCAGGAGAACGAGGCCGTGGCAGTGGAGAAAACCCAGTAACGTGTCCATAGCCGGGTGAGAAATAAACCACACGGGAACGCTGCCTGGACCCTGGTTGAGCCGAATCGCCAGAGTTGGGAGATCCCTCTGGATTTGTGGTGGTCTGGGGCTGCTGCTGAGCTTCTGCCGGAGCTGCGGTGGGCGGGGGCTGGTGCGGGGTGTGGAGTGCGAAGTGTAGGTAAGGGGGTGCGTTGGGGGTGCGTTCGGGGTGTAGGGTGGGTGTGCCGGTGCCCGGTGTGCTGTGTTTGCACGGTTGTTGCGGTGCCCCGGCTGGCCACGCCCCCAGCATCCTCCGCCCACGATGTGGGGGGGCCAGGCAGGGGGCCGGAGCGGGCGGGCAGCTCCGGCTGAGGCGGTCGGGTCCCGCGAAGCGAGGTGGGGTTGTGGCCGTGCCGGGGGCCACCGCGGAGCGGCGCTCCAGCCCCGGTCTGCGGGGGCGGGGGCTCCCGGAGCGGCCGCAGCGCTTCCCGCCCTCGCGGCAGGCACTGGGACCCGGCGAGGGGAAACACCGAGCCCCGTCCGGGGGGAACGACCGGCGCGTCCCGTCCGCGCCCGCGGAGACCCCGGGAGCGAAGGGCTCGTGTTCCTCTGCCCGGGGCCGGTCCGTGCCGGAGGCTGCCATGTATCCCAGGATCGGGAACCTCGCCCTTTACACCTTCTCCATCACGCTGCTCGCCTGCGTGTTTTACTTGAGGAAAGAGGCAAAGTTGGCAGAATCGTCAGCGGACCAGAAAATGGATGTAGTGAGTCACAGACTGAAGTCTTTGGTTCTGGACAACGCTGAACCCACCAAGTGTTTGCCGAACTTGACCCTCGCCAATTCCTCTCTCACTCTCCCGGAGCTTCACCGCGTCTTCTTAACGTACAAGCACTGCCGGAGCTTCCCAGTCCTGCTGAAGCCTCCCAGGTGTAGCAAAGAGCTGTTCCTCTTGCTGGCCATCAAGTCTTCCCCGATCAACGTGGACCAGAGAGTGGCAATCAGGAACACGTGGGGAAAGGAGGTCTCTATCAGGGGCAAGAACATCAGGCTGGTGTTCCTTCTGGGGCGCTCAGAGGCCAAAATCCAGGTGCTGCCCCTGCACCAGCTGCTGGCTTATGAGAGCCAGGAGTTTGGTGACATCTTGCAGTGGGATTTCATTGACAACTTCTTCAACTTGACTCTCAAGGAGCTGCATTTCCTCCGCTGGTTCACAGAGGACTGTCTGCACGCCAGGTTTGTGCTGAAGGGTGATGATGATGTGTTCGTCAACACTTACAACATCATCGAGTTCCTCCAAGACTTTGACCCTGAACAGGATCTCTTTGTTGGGGATGTGATTGCCAACGCCCGGCCCATCAGGAACACCAAGGTCAAATACTTTGTTCCAGAGGCCATGTATGGAGCCTCCTTCTATCCTCGCTATGCAGGAGGAGGGGGGTATGTGATGTCTAGAGAGACCGTGCGTCGCCTCCAGAGCACCGCAGAGGGCACGGAGCTCTTCCCAATAGATGATGTGTTTGTGGGAATGTGTCTGGCAAAGATGTCCGTGACCCCAAAGAACCACCCTGGCTTTAAGACTTTTGGGATCCAGAGACCTTTCAATGCTTTTGATCCGTGCTTGTACAAAGGGCTGATGATTGTGCACAAACTCAACCCCACGGAGATGTGGATCATGTGGACGCTGGTGAGGGACGACAGCATTCGGTGTGCGGTGTCAGTGGAAAAGAAGCTCCCCCTGAGCCCAGCGGGGTTGTGACTGGTGGCAGACACAGGGTACTAAACTAAAAATCAGGTTGTGGTAGAACCGTGTCCGTTACTAACAGACTGCGCTGGAGCCGTCAGGGTTTGGTTTGCAGTGAGTCATTTTCTGTCGGGGGGTTACGTGAAGCAGTTGAATTGTCACAGGGTGGGGGTGGTGAGACACAGCACGGGGGACTTGGCTCAGCTCTTCCCAGCTGGATGGGAGCCAGGGGAAGTCACAACTGCCATGGGAATGTGAGTTGAGGGGCCACCTACTATGGAGGCTCCACAACACCGGTGTCTGACCGCCGGCCAAATTCAGGCTCATGTAGGGAGGCCAGTGATGACTAACGAGTGACAGAGCACTTGAAATTACTTGAAGGGGTGGAAGAAAGGCCAGTGTGTGCTGCTTGGTCCACTGTCCAGGGCAGCAATCCCACAGCTTCTGCTGGACAGCAGGAGAAAGGGAGTGGAGTGGGTAAGAAAAATCCTCAAAAATATATTGCCTTAACGCAGCAATGATGATGATCCAAGGGACTGGGGTCTGACTCAAGCCTTTTGGTCATTATAGGTTTACTTGCACTGGAAACTTTTGCACAAAGACTTTCTGATCAGGTGTGAGAGGAGCAATGTATCATGAATAATCACAGTGGTAGGAAGAGTGGCTGTAGTGTCTCATGTTGTGTGGGAGGTGTTTGGTTTTTTGTTGTTGTAAAGGTGGGTACAAATAAAATACAGTTTTGAAAAGTGTTTTCACAGGAATATTCTTGGGTCTCCTGAAAGCTAAGAGCCCTAAAAGGCAGGGAAGGCTGAGATCTGGTGCTGGGTGTTTGCATTCAGGAGTCACTATGTGGAGATGGGTATTTGCCACTTCCTTTCCTGTGAGCAGCTGCTGGTCTCTGCCCTGTCAAGATGCATTGATATGAAAGTGATTAATCTGAATGTGCTGGAGCTGCTAATTTGAGGAAAGATCAAATATGGAACTAAGACTTGGTGATACTTTTGTGAAACTTCTCAGTGCCAGGGTGTCTTGCTGCTAGAGCAGAATTGCTCTGCTGTGTGTGAGCAAGGAAGCAGCCTGGAAGCTTTAGGAAAAAAATATAGTGGGTGGAGAGGAAGTATGTGATTACAGAAGCCAGAGCCATTTGTGTTGTGCTGTTGTAATTGCTGTCTCCAGTGCCAGCTGCCCAGTGTTCACCCCACCAGATGGGAGCTGGAGCTTTCAGAGGTGCCTGGGAAGTGCATCCAGGAGGTTTTTGCTTGTAGGACAGACAGGGGCTGCTGCTTGTCCTGGAGAAGAGATCGGGCAGGGCGGGTACCGTGGTGCCCTGGGAGCTGCTGTGCCAGCATTTTTCTGATCCACTCAGTGATTCCCAGTGCAAACTCAGGAACAGAGAGCGTGATGTCATGTCTGTTGTGGGTTTAGGTGTATGGGCTAATCCCCAGCTGGCAGCTCTCACTTCCTAATAAAGGGTGAGGGACTCCCTTCTGCCCCGTTTTGGAGGTGATGTGGAGCCATTCCATGCCCCTCACTCCCACTTTGACTGACTGGCTGGTTCCTGTCATGTCAGGTTGGATGTGTGTGGGAACAGCTCTTGGGAAGAGCAGGGCATGCAGTGAAACGAGAAGTGGGGTGACAACAGGGCTGGGAGCAGGCTCTGAAAAAAAGGGGAAGAGGGAGTTTCCTGGCTTTGCAGACTCCTGGCAGTGCTCATCTGCCTTAAGCTCTGTCTCTGCCATGCAAACATCAGAGTGGAGTTACTGTGGCACCCTGAAAAAACACAGCTTGTGTGTGCACCAGGGTCAGGGGCTTGGCAGATGTTCTCCAACTGCAGCAGGTACCAAATGAGAGCAGTTGTGGTTAGAGGCTGACCTGAGGGTGCATTTGAGGCCTTGGCTGTGCCACTGCTCAAATAATCCTCTCGTCATAGTGGCTTTTTTCCTCGTGCTCCCACCCGAAGCTGAGTTTGGGGCCTCCTGGCAGATCAGACACTGGCAGCTCCCTGTGGGCTGAATTCCAGACTCTGCCATCCTCCCTGGATACAGCAGCACCCAGCGAGCAGCAAGGAAAGGTGGTTTGTTAATTCTTTTACTACTTAATCTATAAATGTACAGTGCTGTGCAGCTGAGATTGCATTTGTTCCAAAGGCAGGCAAAATGAGACAACCTATGCTACAGAAAATTCCTCCTCCATTTAGTAACAGCCACCTTGATGCAGTGCATCAGATGGTAATTTGTTGTGAAAAACCTGTGAATAATGTGTGTTTTCTTACAAAACCTGATTCCAGTCAGCAGTGATAAAGTTCTAGTGGATGCTGTTCTGCAAAACCAATTTCACATTAGCTGTGAAGTTAGAAAATGAGCACAGTGAAAGACATCTGTGGTTTTGAAATCTGAAGTGAAACATTAAGTTTGTGAAAGAGAGAATTCAGATTATTTCCTGAAGCTCAAAAGCATTCAAATAGGTAAAACTCTTTTACTCACTGCCTTGTAAAGAAGTCCATGGCAGTTGCCAAAATAATTTTGTTTATAACCACATTATCTTGAAAATCAAACCTCCTTTTGCTTCCTGAGGAACCTCCTGAGGTGTGGTGACTCTTTGGTGACAGAGGATGCTGTGCTGAACTGCAAAACTTCACCAAGAGCCTGAGTAACTCCATGGAAAGTTCTCAGCTCTACAGCAAATATTTCCCCCGACTGCAGCTCAGTGGAATTTGGTGCAGCTGTCAACTCAGATGTTAAAAACTTTGAAGTTCAAACAGAAAACAGGGCTTAATCTCTCACCCAAATGGGCACACTCACAATGAGATGCTTTTGCACAGTTTAATAAAGGCATCTCCTCACACACATCATTTACTTCACAGGTTAAAAACAAGGTTCTTTAAATACACTTCTTTGGCTGATCCCTAATGAGCTCCCACAGACACATCAAACTTCCCAGCAGAGACACAATTAACACTGGGCTGTCCTTGATAGCAGTCTTCACATTTGCATAGATAAACGTTTAAATAAATGAATCCAAAAGTGTGACAAACAAGGTAAATTACAAACAAAATGGAGGCCTTCCAAATACCTGGAAGTGACTTGATTTCTACAGCAATCCTGCTTGGGGAAAAAAATGGAATCACGGGCTTATTTCAGCAGTTTTAGACTATCCCACACAAAAGTTTGGGACTGTTCAATTTGTGATTGACTCCCAGATATGCTACAGTTCAGTTCTGTTCAGTCCTCCCGAAGGTAAGGGTCATCACCTGCATCTATATTTCCTAAAATACCCTGTGGCGACGAAGATTCCTCTCCTTGAGCTTTTATGAGCTCCTCTGTTTGAGCTTCAGCTAATTTGGTCTCTGCTTTCTGGGACAGCTGCTTCACTTCTTGTACCTGTGACTTCACAAGCTGGATGTGGCTGCGGGCTGTCACCGAGGCCTGGTCTGCTCCTGGGGGTAAGAATTGAAATACTGGGTTAGAGGGGCACTGGGCAAACCTTCAGTTAAGGAAATGACTGCAATTAGCATCTGCTTTGCTGTGTTTGGATGGCTCTTGGGATGCATTAATGCTCAATGCATTTACTGTCCATTTACCTCAAACAATTTGTCTGCTTTGAGATTTCATTGCTCCCTTGAATTCTCCCACCCCACTGGGATACAGCTGGAGCTGGATCAGAGTGATCAGGTTGTGCCAGTGGGTTTGAGAACTAAGCCCAGCCCAGTCCTTGTGTACCAGGACCCTTCAGTCCTTGTCCTGTCCTGGCACCTACAGCAGCAGGAATTCCTGTTGAACACGGAATCCCTTATCCTTCCATTCTCCTACAGATTCTGTGTCTTTTTCAGGCACTTCCAGAGTTAGGGTGTCCCTTCATATTCACTGCTTTCCTCCCTTTCTCCATGCCATAAACTTTGCCAGTTTACCATAAACCAGCCCGTAACTCAATCTCAGAGCTATCGAACCTCTACACAGAGAAAAGACCAAAATTAGTATCTTTTCTTTCTTTAATACAACTGAACTCAGGTAGAAAGCCCTGCTGGACCCCTTATTTCTGTGGCTCCCACAACCATGTTTGAACCTGCATTTAAAAATGACTAAACTCTTCCCTCAAATACCTTTGGTCGCCTTTGGTCTTGACCTAAACCACATGTGAAGTTTCCAAGCCTAGTTCTCAGAACGCTTCTATAGACTCACAGCCAAAAAAAGAATGTAAGTTCTCAGCCCCTCTAAAAACCAGGCAGGAGCTGTGGATTGGTAAGTTAAGTGAATGAATATTCTGTGTGTCTCAGCTCTGTTCTCATTGAATAAGGGAAAAGGGGAAAGGAAGTGTCAGGGCTCACCTGACTGATAGGCAGCCTCTGCTGCCATCTCCGACAGGCGCAGCGCCGTCATCCAGCTGGACTCCAGCCTCAGGTATTCCTGCTGCTTTGTCTTCACCTGGGAGGAAAACAAGGTATTCTTTCACGAGGTGTAACCACCCCCAAGTGCTCTCCCACCCTTGTGAAACGGTGAGAGAGATCAGAATGTTCTGAGCAGGGTTTTCAGAGGCAGAGGGTGAGGGAAGGGAGGTGGCCACTCACATCAACTCTGGCTCCTATGACCACCTGCCACACTGCATCCACCTCCTCTGAGTTCATCTTCCCAAGAAGATTTGAGTATTGCTTGTAGAGAGACACCAGGGTATAAACTGCCTGCAGAGGAATCATTTCACACAGTCTGCACAGCTCTGATGCTGTCTCACAAAATTACTCTTCGTGTACTTGCTGTACTAATAAGGGCATAAACTGGAATGCAAATACTGTACTCAAAGTGGCACTTTATTTATAAAATTAAAACCATATCTTCTTGTTTCAGGCTTAAACATGGCTCACACCATTCTTCTGATGAAACTCAGTTCGTGGCCTTAGAAAGGCAGAGAAGGGAAATAAAATACCCAGGAATAGA